ACCAAAGTTATTGACATAAATTTGTGAAATAGTAGTTCAATAAAATTTTGGAATGTGAGTCAACAAACAAGATGACATGGCCTTTCACTCGTGACCCATCTCGAAAGGGTAAGAGTTAGAGGAATTACATTTTTTGTTTGAGTTTGCTTTTTGTTTACTTAAGAACTTCAGTCTTTATGTGATGTAAAACATTTTATGTTACTATTATAAGTTTTTGTTAGAATATATCTGAGATAAAGATCTATTTACAGCACTATTAGAAAGAAACTATCCAAAATTTATAAAGCATGCATAAAAAAATAAATCTATAGAAACTTTTGATACAAGTTAATGGCAAAATTATTCATTTTTAAGAGTATCATCTACAGACCAAGTTGATCGTGGGATGTATTGGTGTGAACAGAGACATGTTGATTTCAATCCTTTTATTTTATTTTTTGCCTGCATTTTGTAATTCCTATCTCTTTACTGATGATAATCTTTCATTGAAAATTTCCCTCTACATTGGATTAATTTCTTGATCCTGAAATTTACTAATTACACAAGTCTAATAATACCCTTGTTTCTCACATCACCTTTGAAGATTTCTGTTTGCTGTATAACTTTTGTTGTGTAAAGTACTGTGTTAAGGAAATGTTGAGGTAGCCAGTTTTGTTCTTGGTCTAAGGATATAAGTCATTAAAAGTCCAATAATATAATTTGGATAATATTTCAAAAGATTATAAACTAGTAAATACATTTGTCTTGGTATATAATTGTTATAAGAAGTTTTGAAATCCACGAGTCTTTCATAAATACTCTGAGAATTCTTACATAACTATGTTGGGTTAAACATCAAAACATTTGTATGGGTATTGGTAGGGGGAGTATTAAACTTCAAATGTTTCATTGTTTAACCAATTATTTAATAGTTCTGAAACATTTTCTTGTAAATGTTGAATACAGTGACATTTAATATTTGTTCACATAAAAAAATTTTTGTTCTTTCACGTTTTTCTTAACATTTTCTTTTTTTCTCCTCTTCAGTATCCTCGAAGTGGACGAGTCAGTGTAAGTGGTATTCATCTTTATCAAACTATAAGGGATTTTTTTAAGCATAATTTTGTCGTACTCGTTTGCTAGTAATTGACATTGAGATCAATATTTAAAATGTTTCCAAAGCATATTTTTATTTACAACAGAATATGGGAAATATAACCATAAAATAGTTTTTTTGTAAGAGTAATCTTGTGCTAACTGTAGACAATTGCTTAACTCGTTATGGGCTAGACATCTTCTGTTGGATGGCTTTTTAACACCTTACACCTACTTCATAGAGGAAAATAATTACTTTAAAGAGTTTATCCCTATGTGATGGACCTGCTAACCATTTTATTCATCAATATGATAGAAGTGAGCTAAAGGACAGCTTTGAGTGACTATATTGAAAAATTAATGGATTTGAATGAATTAGGTGTAACTCTCCCATAACTTAGCTTACTGAAATGTTGATAGGATATTGTGGTCACTGTCATAACATGGTTTCATCAAAATAAGGATTTAAAAAAAGTTATTTTGTGTGACTGAGATTGGACTAATGCCAGATAAACTGTTATGAATAAGTGTATTGTACTTTAATTGTACTTAAATGGTACCCGGAGCGATAGGGGTAAACAGTGTAGAATAATTTTAAAACCAACAATTAAATCTGTTTTTAGAAGATATTTTTGGGCTTTATGATACTTAGCCGAGAACTGAAACATTTCTACCAGTAACTTACATGATACCAAATGTTTGAGATCTAGTATCTATTGAAATAAGGTGCGACATTAGGCAGCAGAAATGTCACCCCCCCCCCCCCCCAATCAGACATTTCCTACCTACGTGATGTTTACTTTTTTTCAAATTTTTACCCCCACACTCAACTTTCTGGATCTTTTGTAATCTACTCGACTTTTGTGGTGATGACAATTTTATTTTTAATTTTTTCAGAAATTATACAAAGCCTTACAACATGACAAATAGTTTAGGAACAAATTTGCCGATCTCCCTGATTCATTACAGTTTGCCGAAAAAGTTACAAACATGATTGGAATGCACTTTGGTAGATATCAATGTTAGTGGCAACTACCGTACAGTGCTGTTATTTATCAAGAAATTTGGTACTATTCACTGAAACTTTTAATATTGCTATTCAGTACCATAAAAATAACTCATTTATCACCAAATCCTTATATGATTATAGAAGTTTTCTTTATAGCTTCCCTTGGAACTATGGAGATATGTAAAGTATTATGTCCATAGCTAGCTGAGGCCTCTGCTCAAAACTTCATTGTCAATGTCAAAGCATGGTCAAAACATTATTATCCTGCTTGTTGAACTTATTATTATTGACATGAGGAGTGAGAACGTAAAAAGTTTTGATTTATTTATTGCAGTCTCCTATTGTGGTATGGAAGATGAAAGCTCCTGAGAAAAAGCCACTTGTTCGACGAGAGAAACCAGAAGAGGTTCGGGCAAAGGTGCGGAAAGGATCACAGAAGAAGAACATTGCTCCAATTAAAGCCTTGAGTGAATTTCATAGTACAGCTGATTCTGTGTGAAGTCAAAAGCTGAATTTCTGGAGAATATAAAAAAAAAAGTTTGAATTTTTGCAACAACCGAAAAGGTTGTGAAGTTTCTTTAGTGGATCGTAACGTGTGGTTGTTGACTTCAGTTTCTTGTAAAGTATTTTATGGCATGGAAAGAGAAGACAAATTTTTTTAGTTTTCATAAGATAGTAATTTCATTTATATTTGTTGCTACTCAAGTAAATATGGATGCCTATTTATTCATTTATAGTGTCAAAATACATTTCGACTTGCAGTAGATAAAATGCTTTTATTCAACGGTATTTTTTAACTGTTATTTTTCAGTGGTATCTCTTTTTTTGTGTTTGGTTTTATTATTTTTGATATATATATATATATATATATATAGATAGATAGATAGATAAATGCATTTATATTATGTGATTACATTTACTGCATAGTTACATTTAAAGTTTCAATTGATTCTTAAGGTCATCCCTTAAAATAAGTAATAGAAAATGAAGTCTTAATATTTTTTTAGAATTGAAATTACAATGAACTAGGTATACCATGAATAACAAAGTTAACTGTTTTGTATTGTGTGAGTGCCTGATTGTGAAGAGTTGGATGATAAGATATGCAAAAAAAGAAAGTACAGAAAATAAATTCACCTTAAGATTTTGAAGAGTAAGTGTGAACTGCCGGTATTTTAACTTTGTTTTTATGTTATTGTGAAACACCGTATCATGTGGTTCTCTTTGATGATTGGATCTATGATCTAATACTTCATAATTTCTCAATATCAACAGGTCTTACATGTTAGGTAGCAATTGTTTATAAAAGGTGTAACATGTTAATATGAAAGTTTTTTTATTTTTAAGTATATTTTTTAAAAACGTTATCAACAATCTTCGAACCTGAATCTTTTCAAATTTCGTTTTTAATACTCAAAGTTTTAGCAAGTTTTATGAAGAGGTTTTTTTCTTTTGTCATGAGCCTCTTTAAGTTTTTTTTTTAAGCCGACAGATGGATTGTATTTTATAATTTATGCAAAAGTTGCTCTGGTTTGTGAAGTTTAAATCAAAGTTAATCTGCAGAGGATTTGATTATTGATTTTCATGGTAAAGATTATTAATAAGCTAGAAAAAAAAAATTAAAATTAACACAAAGTTTCAGAGCTTCAAACAAGTATTGTATATAAAGGGTGAAATTATTGATGTTAGGTGTTTTATTATGTGACTTTTCTAAGCCTAGTTTTTCTACTAAAGTCTGGTTTCAAAAAGAAAAAGTATAAAGTCATTCCATAACATTGAAATAGTGTATAATGTATATTACACTATTCACATTATAAAGGTTATTGTATGTGACCTGTAAGCAAGCACAAGTGAAATCTGCTCTCAGATCGAGGTGTAAAAAATATGAATATAGTTGCAGGTCACCAAGTTGCACATATTTAGTTGTGTTGTCATTCTGCAATTAAAGGCAGACTTATTGACAGAAGTAGTTTGTGATCGTAGTTCTTGAAGTAGCATTATTTGAAAAAGTAGCAGTTTGTAAAAAAATTTAGTTAGTAATTAGTGTTTTCTACATTTTTTTTAATTGTGTAAGTAATGAGGCAGGTTCCTCCTTTTTGCTTTACCAGTGGTCACGTATTTAGATATGTAGTGTGTATGTGCGTGAAGTTTGTATGGGGAAAAAGTAAAGTGAAATAATATTAATGTTCTTGTCTTCCTGCTTTTTTTACGAGCTTCTCATTTCGTCCATACAGCATATAGAATGGTCAGTTTTATATGTTTACTGTTCCATCTATGGCTACTTTGTGCACTGTGAATGTAAGATAAGGTGAAGTTATTATGTGAAAGTTAAAGTATTCCTAAGAAGAGCAGCTATTTTTTTTTCTTCTTATTATTTTGTTCTGTAGAACTATATACGATTTTAATTATCTGTGGAACTGGTACTAATAGTGTGGTTTTGAATACATCAGAGTCCGTTTCTAGCTGCAGTTTCATCTAAAATGCATTTGGGTTCGCTGAATCCTTTGTTAAGTACATTATTTTTCCTGTGTTTTGAGCTTTGTTTAATCATCAGAGGAATTGTGAAGTATTTTTCTTTTCAAACTAGAGTTTTACTGTTGTTGTTTTTTAAGCTGAATTTAATTAACATAGAATTGTTAATTAGGAAAAAGAAAACTTTTTTTACTATCATGTTTTGGATTTTTTTGTGAGTTTAACCCGATATCTGTTGGACTTTAGTTTTGTATCTGTTCCTTTATAATTGAGAATTTTTCATTTAGGAGAAGCAAAATATTTTAACGTGTTGGAAATTTGACAAGCAATCAGCTTCTTTCATGGAGTTACTACACACACAGCTGCTTAAATCTCATTGGTGGAAAAGATTACTACAACTAACAAAGATTGTTTAAAAAAGAAAATGAGCAATTAAAAATTTAGGTTTTTCCTTCTAACCAAAAACTCAAATATAAAAATTAATATACAGATCTGAAATACTAATTAATGTGTTGGCAGATTTTTTTTTCCATCTGATTATGTGCATCTGATCAGGATGTGATACACTGAAAAATACATCATTGTTCCATCTTGATGATAGGGTCTTTGGAGCTCATATTTACTTATCTTGGCTAGGAAGGTAAAAGATGAAAGAAGTTTTTGTCATCAGTAGAGAATCATTCAGACTGTTGAACGCTGATGTTATTATAGTCATTAGTATGTGTTTCAACTAGCTTTTGGTTACAAAAAAAACAATACTCCATTAGTAGCTTACGTTTTTTTTCCAATAGGGGGATTGTCGTCATTTCATTTGTTTCTGATTAAATACTTTCACTGTTGATCAAAATGAACACAAATGTTGTACTTGCTTACAAAAAAAATATGATACAAGTATCTTGAAGATTGCCTCTGTCTTTAGACCAAGGTCATAGTGAACAATGTCAAATAACATACAGGGTAATTGGAAAGGGCCACTAGATACCAAATATAATATTGTGATAAATCTTGTATTTCATTACCATAGCTGTATAGACTCCTGCAATAAAAAGGAAGTTAAGGACAATAGCATAAGAAGTAAAAATGCAGGTTAGAGATTGTGTTTGAACACACCACAGTTATTATCTGAAAATAGTGTTTAAATGAAGTAATTAATGTTTTTCGTAAGTAATTCATTTCAAAGTGGACATTTTTTAAGACTCGAAAGTTTCATCACTCTTTAGGATATTTCCTCGTAACTTTAATTCTGTAGCACTACCCCCCCCCCCTTATTTATTTTTTTAAATTCAAACTTTGCAGGTTTTAGGTTAATCGAAAGGTTAGGGTTTACCAATAAACTTGAGTTGAAGGAACAACAGGGTTACCTTTTTTTTTAAGGCATTAGTGATAAGGTTGCAGTAACTATATATAAAAAGTTGTATGCTTCTGCTACTTCCAAACTGTATACGACTGTAAGAGTCGATGAGTTGAGTTTTAAGTTGAGAAAAAAATTTTCATTGTTAAAATTGATTTTGATTTTCACGTTCTAAAACTTGTCAACAGAAAAGGAAAGGGAAAAAAAAACCTTCTCCCATTAATTCTTAATACTTAGAAAAGTGTCCTGATGAGACATAAAATATCAATTATCCGTTACAGAAGTTACTTAACTGGTTGAAAAAATGCTTTTTTTATTAATATTACTAGTGCTATAACAATTTTACAAAATAGACTAAAATTATCTCCACAGTGTAAAGCTTGATAAGATATCATAAGCAAAGAATGAAGTTACAGATTTAATAGTCTTTGAAAGTAAAGAATCTTGTTGAACAAATATTATGATAAACATAAGAATAAGAAAGCTATTAACAAGTGGTGTTTTATATTAATGTATTTTATTCTAATAGTTTTTTTTTTTTTTAGAGTTTGTCAAAGAACAAATTGTCTTATTTAAAAAACGTGGGTGTTTTTCATATAAAAGTAGGCTTAAAGTACATCTTATTACTGATCGTATCATACATTGGAAGTGTTAAACTTGGTGTAGATAACTCTATATATGGTGGCAAGCTTTCTGTTTATGATAGATTTTTTTATGTCTTCTCTATATGGTAATTGGATTAAACTGCATCAGAATGTCGTGACAGTTAAAGTAGAACTTGGAACTTATCAAGTGTATTGCTTCTTAGTGGTTCCATACATTTGTCTAGTCACAGCAGTGAAATGACACGATTTTTAACTACAGTAATTTTACATATTACTGATAAGTTGTTTTTATAAACGTTTTGGATGCAGCTTATATTATGTGGTTATTATGGTGTGTTTTTAGCATTTTCATGTAAAAACTTGTCTATTTTTATAAAATCATTTACGGTTCTCTTTCTCACTGGTCATCCTGCAGTAAGTGCCTCATATTAATGGCTTTTATTCCAAGTATGTATTTTAGTTCAGTAGCACAATCACAATAAATGTAAACAAAAAACTCAAGTTTCCGTGTGTATTGTTCAAAGATACCCATCACAGCTGTTAACAATTTACCCATGCATGTTATACTGGGAATTGGGTTTGATGCATTTAATTCCTGGCCTGCTAGTTCTTATATTTCTGCTTACAGCTTTTATCTGTGTCTAAGTACAGGTGAGCAAACTAAATTATTGATAAAATGATTAGTAAAGAAAGGTTAATGTGTTGTATGAATTCAGTTTTTAAAACTCCTTGTAATATCACCTTGGTATTTTTATTTTCACAAAATAAAAGTTACTCTTCCTGAAAGCAAATGTTAAAGTTTTATACATGTGTGATTTTTTAATAGTTAGTATATTTACCACTTAATATGTAAGACTGTTTTGATAATTAAAACCCAGTCCTTGTTTGCTGGAGAGTTGCTCAAAATCTTGATTATTAAAAGCATCAGTCTTTTCTGGACTCTGTATTCCTTCACTGCAGGTTAGTGGAATTACCAAGATTAATTTTACATTTTGTCAAAAGTGCACATCTGTGTATAGAAATATATTTTTAATTCAGTTAACAATATTCTTCATAAAATACGGATGTTCCAGTTGTTCACGGCCCAGCATGGCCATGTGGTTAGGGAGCTCGACTCGCAATCTGAGGGTCGCAGGGTCAAATCCCCATCCCACCAAACATGCTCACGCTTTCAGCCGTGGGGGCATTATAATGTGACGGTTAATCCCACTATTCATTAGTAAAAGAGTAGCCCAAGAGTTGGCGGTGGGTGGTGATGACTCGCTGCCTTTCCTCTAGTCTTATACTGCTAAATTAGGGATGGCTAGTGCAGATAACCCTTGTGTAGCTTTGTGCGAAATTTAAAACAAACAAACCAGTTATTCACTTAAGTATAAAACAAGCACTAAAAAGTCTACCAATATGTATGGAGATTTAATGGTATTTTACAAGAACAATTTTCATTCACTAATGCAGTGAAATGTCACTGCTTATATAAGCTGCATCACCATGGTAAATTCCATAATACTGGCAGGGCAATATTGCTATGGGTAAAATTAATGCTGGAGTGAAATACATTGCAGAAGTTTCGAAAAAAAGAATAGAATTCTAATTTCTGATCATAGAATTCTATGCACTTGGAACAAAACGAAAATTCAAACAGTAAACTTAATGAGATACGTCTTTCTACATAAAAAGATTGGAATTCGTTGTTTCATTAATTTGGTACCCTTGCTGTTAACAAGGTGAAAGAAAGAAACTACAAAAATATATTACATGTGAGTGATGGAAGTTTCCTGACTGATCTTCAAGAACTGGGTAACGGGTAATATGCTACTACTGATGAATTTACAACATGATACAGGTAATGTAAGTATTTTTTTTTTCTGGATTTGTGGCTTCTGCAGGTTTCTTAGATAACTGGAGATTTAAATGTCACAAAGTGTAGAGTAAAGTATGTGACTTCAAAATTCTTGCAAGGATGCCAAAAATAAACTCTATCTTCATCAAGTTAAAGGATCAAGGAAAGTTTCAAAGTGTGCAGCAGCATGTCTACAAACCTGTCTTCATACTACCTCATTCTCTAAAGTATACTGAAGCTACCTGGTTCCACTTCCAATAGATTTTTGTACACTTAGTTGTTTTTTTTTAAGTGTGGTTTTGGGAGTTGATGCACACATGCAGTTGGAGAATATTTGGAAAGTCTGATAAGATTTATTGCTTAGAATTGATTTTGACATCTTTAATAGAAGCTTTTCACAATGGAAATAGCAGTACTGGTAACAACAGGTAATCATGGCCATCATATTCAGCATAATCAAAGATGAATGAAATGGTTTTAAAGGCAGTACAAGATGAAAGACCGTTCTTATAAAGGGTGAATAACTATCCCTATGCAGGTAGTACAAAGGAATGGAAATAGGACTTAAACAGGGTCAAGCATGCATTACCATTGAAATATCTTCCAGTTGGGTACATTAATTCAAGTGAATGGAACAAAATTAGTAGGGATAATGATATGGTTTTAATATCCACTATGTATTAAGGGTTAATCTTTGCTTAGACTAGGCGTGTCAAAAGTCAAAGAAAGTGCATTAAAAATGTGTTGCAGATCTTGTGATACTTTCACATCCATATATGCCTGATGTTTGTTTTTCACTTTTTCTGTTTAATATTAGGGGATACATATACGTGTGTGTGTGTGTATAAATATATATATGCCCACACCTTTGAAATAATAAAATTATAGATAAAGACTGTATTATTCTTTGGACAATTCTCCATATTGGAAGGTCCAGAATATGCCTCTGGGCACACACACACACACACACTAAACTTGCAGTTTTGGGTGTGTTATAATAGTGACAGTCAACCTTGTCGTTTGGTTAATTATGGCTAACCACATAGGCAACAGGTGCTATTGATTAGTCACCTTTGCTTTGGTCAGTATTTCTAAGTTAGGTATGAACATGTCTTAACCAGGAGGCCTCTGACTTGGACACTTCATATCCTCCCATCTGTCACATAAAGTACTATTCAGGTTAAAAATACTGTTGTTTTTTCTGAATATTGATTGTTTTTTAATTAAAATTGGTCCAAAATGAGTAAAACAAATTTATGTTTTATGTGGAACTTCCACTTTATGATAATGAATTGTACTGGATGTATTTTAATTTTTTAAACGTGGAGAGAGGTGAGTAAATATTTTTGATATGACAATATTGTAGCTATTACACGTATAAGAATACATTATCTGAATAGAAAGTACGAAATTTTACCCTAAAATAAAGATTAATTTTCAAAATAAGTGGCTGTGGATAAAAGTTAAATGTGAACATTTACCACGAGGCATTTATTTAATCTTGAATTTCAGTTAAAACTTCTGAATTAAATCACTTTATCAAAACCTGAAATACTCTGACAAGCCTCATTTTCTTGTCAAAAGAAAACGTTTGGTGCTGTGGAAACACGAATATGTGAATTGTAACTTTTCCATTTACCGATGAAAGAGAAAAGTGTGTCAGAATTTTAATAAATTAAATCCGAAACTTACAAGAGCTTTTGATGAGTGAATGGTTCACTGTGGAATATTTACTCATGAAAATATTTCTAGTTCGATTTATCTTTTACTATATTCGTTGTTAAACACAAACCTTTGATAAGAAAATGATATCATAGTTGATTGTTCAAAAATTCTTTATTAACAGTTGCTTTAACTACAAACGATCCTGGGTTCAATTCCTGCTCACGAGAGACATACACTTCAAAGTTCTACACCCTGTACCTTCTCTAATTCAGATGGTTTTACTTCACCCTATACCCACTTTCCTTTTGCTTAATACTCGGCATGACCAGATGATTAGGGCGCTTGACTCACAATCTGAGGGTCGTGGATTCGACTCCCAATCCCATCAAATATGCTCGCCCTTTAAGTTTTGAGGGCTTTATAATGTGATGATCAATCCCACTATTCATTGGTAAACGGGTAGCCCAAGATTTGGCAGTGGGTAGTGATGAATAGCTGCCTTCCCTCTAGGCTTACACTGCTAACTTAGGTAACGGCTAGAGCAGATAGCCCTCGTGTAGCTTTGCGCGACATCCAACACAAACAAATCCTTTTGCTTAGAGAAACATTTGCTATCGTCATTTTGTGCGTCCAACTTACAATAACTAACCACATTATTCAGTTGTGACAAGTTTCATCAACGTTTTGTACACGGTTGCTCAGCGGTAAGCCTGAGGGCTTATAGTGCTTAACATCGAATTTCGAAAACTCGGATAACCTAAATATGTAGCTTTGAGCTTAACAATAAACAAACCATTGAAAATATTGTACTTCTGGGGGTACGTTATTCATACTGCACCAATGATATCGACGATCCACGCTGAAGATCTGTAGACAATTGATAAACGAAGACAACAGCTGTAATATTTTTTTAAACATACACAAGAACTTTACATAACAGACAAAAACAAACAAACATTGTGTACGAATGTACCCATCTTTATGGATTTTCTTCTATCCAATCTTTAACCTCCATCAAAACCCTCAGGGAAATATATCTGGCCCAGGAACCTTATCGTTCTTTAAATTTCCTAATGTTTTCTTAACTAT